ATATATATATATATATGTTCTTACAAAACATACCTGTGAATTAAACAAGTCACATATTATTAGCACTGATGAAGACCCGGGCTTATGGATCGAAAGCTTTGCAGTCATGTTTGAAAGCTTTGCATGTGGTGTTTCCACAAACAAAACTATTATAAAACATACCTTGTTTTGGATAACTGATTCCAATTCCGCCAGAAAATCGAGTTGTGCTCCTTGTGCTGAACCGGTTTTAATTCACAGGTATGTTTTGTAAAAACATATATATATATATATATATATATATATATATATATATATATATATATATATATATATATATATATATATGTTCTTACAAAACATACCTGTGAATTAAACAAGTCACATATTATTAGCACTGATGAAGACCCGGGCTTATGGATCGAAAGCTTTGCAGTCATGTTTGAAAGCTTTGCATGTGGTGTTTCCACAAACAAAACTATTATAAAACATACCTTGTTTTGGATAACTGATTCCAATTCCGCCAGAAAATCGAGTTGTGCTCCTTGTGCTGAACCGGTTGTTTGTGTAATGTGGCCAGCTTATTTAGCTCCTCTTTGCACTGCTTGATCAAATAGGATCGCGGCAACTCCTCATTCCCATCAACCATGGATAACTCATGGTATGCTTCATCGCCAATACAGAATTTATCAAGGATAAATAAAACATTCTTGACTTTCTGTTGATCCGCTTCAGTTAAATCTTTATAAGATCTTCTGACATTTTCAGAGTAAGTCAAGATGTGATTTTCACCATGCATGACTTTGAAAATGGCAGATTGTAACTCCAATCCAAATGTTTTGGCAAACCACAAAGCCTTCTCCACCTTGGTCTTTAGCTCGGTTATTTTTCGTCGCTGCTGTCGCTCACCAACTGCGGAAGTTTTCCACCACTGTTTGAAAAGTCCAGATCTTGGCCTGAACCTTCAATGTAATTTTGAAGATTTTGGTTCTGTTTTTTAGTTCTTCGATTTCATCACCAACCTTTGTCTTTGCCATTCTCTCAGCTTCCTGATTTTCCTCCAAATCTTTAACTAGAGATTCATACCGTTCCTGTAGGATATCTTTCTCCTTTTGGAGGTCTTCATTTATTAATTTCTGCTCACTTAACTGTGCATCTGCTTCTGACAGCATCACCAAATCTTCCATCTGTAATGCCAGGCTTAATTCATTTTGGCAAAGTTTCCTGAACGCTGCTCCATTCTTACCTACAAATTTTGCTTTGATTATGTTTGTAGCTGTCCTTCGACGTGTTTCAAAGAGTTGGGAATCATTTCTTAAGGACCGTTCATTTTTTATCAGGAGGGGGGGGCTGGTGGTTTTGCATGCTTTCATTGATAATTTCGTCATGACCCCCCAGCAGATGCAGGAAAATTTTCAGTGGCCCCCTCTCTACTCCAAGTTTTCTTCCCATGACCCCCTCCCCTCCCCTACATGCATGACCTCCGAAAGGTTTCTAATGTTACTTTTGCAACGTTTTAGGCTAACAATTAATAAATACAATAATGCCTACAATTATTTTAGCAATTATTTTGGTAATTGTAACTGCCTGAAATGTTGCAAAAATAATATTAGAGACAATGACATTTAATAGGAATTATACATAGATATTAGTCATTGTTGTTCTTGAAAGGAATTATCCGAAACGCACCACGTATATATAAATTGAATCCATATTAAATTCATATATCAATATATTTTCGTACAAAACATCGCTTTAAAGGTGGTTTCTATAGAAACAATACAAATACATTATAAACTACGCTACAAGAAACAAATTACTTTGCAAATACATAGAAAACAGGACCAAAAACATGCAAATGTACCTGACTTTTGCCCTTCGTAATCCGAACAAACAATCAAAAATATAAAACCAACATGTGTTTTTATCACGTGATGTCCTGCCTGCTCGCAGGCGATTAGGCCCTACTTTTCGGGTTAGATCCTACAAACCGGCCCCTATCGAGTATAAACATAGTCGATATACCAAAACACAAGGATCTACGCCCAGTAACTGGAACAAAGTACGAGTTCGATTGGCTTCGCATAACAATAACAATATATAAACGTTTGTATATACCAGACCTTGCGACTATTCATCGACTTCTTTCGCTTCTTCGACTAGGCACAGTTCACGGACATGTCTCTTAAATTTCCCGCCATTCGATCTAATCATAACTTGACGCACCATTCCGTCCTTATCTGCAAAAACTTCCTCCACCACTGCCATAGGCCACTGTCCTCGTGAACATCTCTTATCCACCATTAACACCAAATCTTTGACCTTCAAGTTCCTTCTGGGTTTCAGCCACTTCTGGCGCTGCTGCAGACTAGGTAGGTATTCACCCAACCATCGTTTCCAAAATGTGTTAGCTAGAAGTTGAGCTTGTCGCCATCGCTTGCTATAACGATCTTCACCAACGAACACGCCTGTAGGAAGACATGAGTTCGATCTCAAGAGAAGCAACTTGCTTGGAGTTAGTGGGTCCAAATCACATACTTGACCTTGGTTACGATTCAGGGGGCGATCGTTGAGAATTCTCTCCACTTCGACTAAGAACGTGAGAAGTGCTTCGTCATCAATAACCTGCTCGCTTGTCAGTGCAGTTAATATTCTTCGGATTGATCGAATCATGCGCTCCCACACTCCACCAGTGTGACTTGCCAAGGGAGGGTTGAAATGCCACGTGATTTCTTTCATTCGTAAACGATCGTTGATCTTGGCTTGAGACTCCACTGACTGAATATTCTTGAACTCTTCCTTCAAGATTCTTGACGCTCCAATGAAATTGGTTCCATTGTCACTAAAGATTTCCTTCGGAACCCCTCGACGGGCTGTGAAGCGACTGAATGCACAGAGAAACGATTCTGCATCGAGAGAATGTGCGACTTCTATGTGAGCTGCCCGCATGGCCAAACAAGTGAAGATGCATCCGTATCTCTTGACTTGACTTCGACCTCTCTTCACCATCAAAGGACCAAAGTAATCGACTCCCGTTGACGCAAATGGATAATCTGGAACAGTTACACGAGCTGCTGGTAAAGGCGCCATTATCTGTTCACAGGGCGACGCGTATTTCTTGCGGCATTGAACACATTTGCCAATGATCCATCGAATCCTGGAACGCCCTTGGAGAATCCAAAATTCACGCTGAATAGCCGATAAAACAGTACGAACGCCCGAGTGTCCTTCTTGCTCATGATAGTGCCGTATCAACAGTTCTACAATGTGGTGCTTGCCTGGAATGATCGCGGGATGCTTGGCGTCAAAACTTATTGATGCTCTATCCAATCGGCCACCAACTCTTAATAGACCGTCGTCTGCGAGGAAAGGTGATAATGCTGCCAATTTGCTGGATTTCTTCACAACAATTTTCGAGGTAGATTGACCGCTCGATCTGCGTTTAAGACGGGTAATTTCATCGGGAAAGGCTTCCTGTTGTACGTAACGAATAAGTTGTTTCCTTGCATTTTGTAAATCATTGACTGTCAAAGGCCCTACGCCGGCCCCAGTGACTTCGTCACGGGAACGAGTACTTATGTCCGCTTGCGTTTCATCATTCTTATAAGAAGCACCGTTGGAATTACGAACACGAAGATACTTGATGAAACGATT